GACGCATGGTCCGTATAGACTATGAACGGTCTATCTCTACGAGATAGACTCGATACCTAACTAGTGCCTACTTCATGGCAAGGAGTTCCTTGTCATACACTGGATGATTATGCTCAGCTGCTTAAGCTGACGCGATTAATAACAGATGACGCGCTCTGATTTATCAGAGCAAACCTGCATCAATGCGCAGCCGATCGCAAAATTTCTGGCGTCAGAGACCACATGGAATGGTCTGCCCTGATTTGCACTCGCAAAGATAAGCGATTGCATCAATCTCTGCTAAATAACTTCCAAAGAACGCTGACATTCAGCGTTCCATGACCACTTCACATTTTTCTTGACTAAACAAGAAAGATGCACAGTTATCCCGGCGTTGTAGCGCGATACTCAAACAACTATGCCGCTAGACTAAGGAGCTTACGAATTCCCTTGACATCGACTGGCACAGGCCAGTCGGTGATCGCCTTGATCTTTTTAGGATCATGGAGTACGGCGCGTTTACCCACGATGCACCCAATAGTGGTATTTCGCTTTCCGCAAATATACACTTCATGAGGTTTGCGTACAATTTATGATTGCGCATGAGTTGGATATCCTGACACACGTGTGTTACTATAAACTCCAACGTCCGTGTTCCCGTCTTTAGCCCCGCTATGGACGAACAAATTGTCAAAGTAACTTGGTGCTAAATCCCGCACCGGTCTCAACAAGTTTGTAAAATATCTGTTCAATCTTTCAGGGGCTTTACTCAGCCCTTATGATATCACTAGCCACTCCCACAGCATACCTCTTGGGGTGGTCACTGCTGTGTACGGGATGTCCCGTTCACGCATGAGGATCTGAAAAAATCCGTCCATCAGATCCATGGACAAAAAGACGGTACTCTTACACATACCATCTATGATCACGCCAATCCTCGGTATCGGCGTCTGAGACGGTACCGTTGCTGCATTCAACTTGTTGAACGCGTGCACTATCCGCCATCCTCCTGTGGCCTTTCGCACACAGAAGGTCGGAGAGCTGTGAGGGGATGTTGATTCCCTCACATGGCCCGCTGCTGAGCGATCGGCAAAGAACTTGTCGATCGCTAGTACTTGTTCACGAGGCAGTGGCCACTGCTTCATGACACAGTACTTCGAGCCCGGTTTGATCTCGATCTCGTCTCGAGTGCCTTTGTCCTTGGGTATTTCGCAAGGCACGGATTCAGGGAACACATCCTTGAATCGATCAAATCCTTATACAAATGATTTGCCTGATGTGACTTCCAGGATTGAGACGTGTATCGCTTAATCCGAGTCTTCTCATCGAGGACACTTACACCCATCGATGAGCTGCTGAGAACCCGTTCGTTCTCAGCAAATACTGTCGCCGACCGAATATCGGCCACATACTCATACTCTGTGACGAGTATGCGGATCTGCTTGACTTTGCCACTACGCAGATCACGCAAGAACCGTTTCGGTTCTAGCGTTGGAAACTGAGTTATCTCAGAAGTTAACTTCGGGGACACAATCAGATCAAGCGTATAAGCGCCTACGCTTGATCCGTCATTAACCGAGACGTTCAACGTCTCGGTTGCTTCCTGGGAACTTCTTTCCCAGGTTGCTGAGGGCCTAATCCTTCAGGAAGTGACTCTTGAGGAATTCCTTCCTCAAGTACGTGGGGACTAATTCCCTCGACGTCTTCTGACTGTGGCTGTGCAACCACAGTCAGGTACCGATCCTCTACGGTCGACTCTCCAGTCGACCTAGGATATTCATGTTGCCCTTTGAAGGCAACAGGTTTCTTACTTCAAAGATGCTGCCCGCTAGGCATGCATCCATGTCCCGGTCCACTCGACTTATTCGAGTGGTGGACCTTCGAAGCCGCCTGTACTTCTATACAGGCACTGGGAGCTTGGTCTACAGTGAAGTGATCAAATACACTGAGATCTTGAGCAGTCTTGCGAACGACCGCAAGTGAGCCCATCGCAATCATCCGCAGTACATCCACACGCTTGTAGACGCTTCAAGATGTTCATCCGATGGCCATCTGATGAAGAAGCGGCAGAAATCTTCACGAATTGATGCTGCCATCTCTCTCTTGACTCGTACGTTCTGAGCCAAGGTAATCCCAGGATGACATCAAATTTGTCATTTAGATCCAGTACGATAAAGGTGCCATTGTACTGTTCTCCCTCTATACTGTGGTTGGTTCCTACTCTATATATCTATGCGCCTGGGCAAGGCGTAACGTCATCATCATTAGAAATATGTCGCGCATAACGAGCTTGAGCCTGAGATCTTCTAGTGACTGGCGAGAAAGAAAGTTGTTCGGCGCCCCACAGTCAACTAGAGGACGAACTAACAAATTTTTTGTCACTTGCAACTTCAAGTAAATGAGTGTCACTTCATCACCAGGTGCAGAGACACACAATGATTGTGTATCTGGAGCAACTTTCTCCAAGAAACTTGCAATTCTCTTAAGGTTGCTGGACTAGTAGGGCACTCCTCCCCGACTGACCCGTCCATTTTTAATGGTCCGCTTCGCTGCTGCGGTTTCGCAGCAGCACCGAACCCACGCTTATTTTCCCCTTTTGGCAAATGGTGGTTCACTTCGCTCAGCAATGTTTGGTACTGAGCGTGGGGCACTACACTCGTAAGCGAAGTGTCCAATCTTCTGACAACGAATGCACTTTTGCAATTTCTTGTTGTTCGTAGAGAGATGTATCTCGCTCTTAATATAACAGATGTCCATGGGTTCTGGACCTCAAGTCTCTTGTCGACTTGGTGGACGATAAAAGCTGGATCTAGCATGAGTCTACCTCATGTTATAGTCTTCTGTGTCGCAGCTGATATTGCTTGTTCAAGCGTATCCAACTCTAAGCGTAACGGGTGATTCCTGACGGGACCATCTGAAAGCCTATTATGAACACAGTATTCAAGGTGTGTTCATGTACCGGGTCAGCAGTCATACTACTCGGAAGAAGTCGTATACGCGAATCATAAGCGTGCACTCACGCTTATCCTGTTTGAGTTTAGGAGCTTAATATAAGCCCTAAACTCAGATCTAGGCGGTTCAAACGTTTGTTTGAGCCGGGTCTTTGAAAACTCAAGCGACTCATAAGCATATAGGTCGCTCATCTCGATTCCTAGATCCCAAGTCTTGGCGCGTCTTGGCCAAGTGGGCTTGATCAAATGTGACTTTCATTTTCTCATCGTCGATACGACGTGCCTTTATGGCTCTGTCTAGTTTGACGAATTATAAAAATAGGGAGTCGTCCTCGACTCCTCTGTACTTCGAAATATCAATCCATAAGATTTCGGGACGACGCGTGTGTGTCGTCCCGCCCACAGCAGTATTGAGGTGCTTCTGTCTCAACAGCTCTGTCTGTTGAGCACCAATTTATCTCACCTGCTCGGCCTGTTGATAGCCTTTCTGGTGAAGCAAGGCTACTTTCTATCATTCGGCGAAAACTTCATTTTGGATGACCCTGGCTTTAGCAGCATGTTGTTGGTTCCTGTCAAGGGACTCCAACATGGCGCTAATGGCGAACTCGCCTACGGTAGAACACATTCGTTCTACCGCCCTCCATTCGATATCACTCAAATGGTTAAACCCTTCACGCGTGGCTTGAAAGATCTCCTCCTCATCTAACATTGTAATGTCAAATGAGGTGGTCGTGGTTGTTGGACGGACTACAACGTGCTACTAGATGTAACGGGGCATACTCTCACCAGATGACTTGTAAGACCTTGTGCTGACTTAGCACTAGGCTGCATACCTTCGACGTCACGTACACGTGGCGTGAGAAAGCGCAAGGAAGTAAACAGAACTCGAAAGCTTTGATTAACGAAATAGTAGAGTTGTATACAACATAGTTATGTTTCTTTGTAAACCGTCTTTGTCTTAGTCTAACCATACCAAACTACAATCTCCTATGTGGGTTTCTTGCCCACCACCCATTGCGCGCGTCCAGCTTCTATTGGAGGTTAATTTTGTTGATGTAGCGTCTACATCAATCAATAAGTGGAGCGCCCATATGTAAGTATCTGAATAAATTAAATTGAAATATTGATAGATTCGTTTCAATTTTAGGTAACGGGCTCACCCCGTTACACTCACAAGAAATCGACTCTACGAGCTTACAGCTCCAGGTCCTTGTTCAGGGGACTTAAACGATTCACTGTCCTAAATGCACAGTGCACTTTAAGAGTCGGTGTCTTAGTAAGTCTTGCATCTTCTTAAGATCAAGACGCCTTGGAAGGCACGTGATATTTCTCGGTCAAAAGAGGAGTTGAACTTTTTTTGTTTATACATCGAAAAGAATACCTCAGACAAAACGTACTTTATCTCGATCTCGACACTAACGCTATATTGGCTACCTTTATAGATCTCGTATTTTGGTGGCTGACACACGTCAGCCTGCAACAACTGATACGATCCTGGTGTTCGAATATCCTTTTTAATAGAGCGTTACCCCTGGTGTATACCACACGTGTCCTCTTGTAACAGCCATCAAAGTCCTAGAAGCTGCTTTCACGCCTTTCACGAACCATTCAATTCTCGTGCGTTAGCGAAGGTAACTGCTCTGCAATATGTCCTCGAAGGCTTGTAGCACTTTCTTGATCTACGAAGCACTGCTTTAGATCCACGCTTGGATCATTACATGCTCTTGAGCATGTAGCGACAAGAAAAAAGAGACTCGGCATGTGGTCTGCACTGCCCCAAATCGATTGCTCCATAGCGCAGTGGTCAGCACTACAACTGCTAAACCAGCAACTTCGGCTGGCGGGCGCAACTGCAAACGCCCCTGTAGTTTGATCCTTTGCGCCTCTGCGTACGTACGTGTAGTTTTAGTTACCAGCTTTGTACATACAATAAGGTGACGATCTTGGGACCGGGGAACCTGCTCAATGTGACCCACCACCGAACGTCCGACCAGGTCCTGAACGAGTCTATTCGATCGCTTTTGACAGGCTCTTGTCCTCCACAGCTCTGTCCATTTCGACCCCACTTCTATGTCACGTCCTCAAGACCTACTGCCTCCGTGGCTCGTAAACCACCACGTCGCTCATGACTCGCCACTTCTTCCCGACCACATTCGCCTCATCCCATGGGACGACGGGTTCACTCCCTCCGGCTGCAATTGCCGTCCGGGTACACTCGTGCGTGACTACCCACGGGACCATCCGGGAGCTCTTGTAACAGTCGATCACGCAGTGTCGGAACGTACGGCCGATCAGCTGTACGCGAGTGCGATCGAAGCAAAAGTGTGGGGTGTCTACGTGTCAGTCGATGAGTTACTAGTGCTTGATGCTGCCAGTCGAGCAGCTTCGATTGTAGTACCGAAGGTCAAGCAAACTGCAGCACAGAAGCTGGAAACCGGTCGTCAGGATTTAGCTCGACAAGCGATCCAGGAATTCCTCGTCGAGCGCTTGGCTGGACAGGACGTGATTACTAAGAACGACTGGGCACGTACGCACGGTGTCGCCGTGTGGGTCATTGCCTCCGATTGCGACGATGAGACGGAGTACCACGTGGACTATGCCGAGCAGGTCCGATACGAGACCAATGTGCTCTTTCCGCCCATCTATGGCGCTACGTTGCACGTGAGTCCACTGCGAAGTAGCAGTAGTAGTAGTAGTAGTAAGAGTGGCGCTACTTGTACTGACGAGGAACTGGTCGAAGAGGGGCAGCGGGAGACGGGTGTACTCGAAGGCGGAAGTCTGTACGTGAATGTCAAAGGTCTGGACCACTATGAAAAGTACGGCCACAAGACGCGCAAGCGGTCAACGCGACTGACAACGGATGAGCTGGAGGAGCTGAGCCAGACTGAACCTGGATGGGAACGTGTCCCGTACGTGTATCGTCGAGGGATCGTGTGTGATGGCGAGCTGCCTCACTTTAGCGGTCGCGTGCGTTCACTGCCGACGTCATTGTCATCTGTGAAATACGCGAAGGTGCCCGTGAAGCGCGTGATCGTGGGCTTTAACCTGTTTCCGAGCGAAATCGGCGCGTGTGTCGCTAAGTTCCCCGAACACAGCGGCGCTTTCAACCGCTACGTGAAGCTCTCTCAAGCCGCCGTGAAGCGGACAAAGGCGCTGTCGACTGCGGGCAACAAGGGCGGCTGGACGCTGGCGAGTGTGCGAGCGAACCCAAAGCAGGCTGCGTTTCTCAAGTTGCTGGCACGTAGGGTACGTGAGACGGAGAAGCAGAAGTCGGAGGCAGTGACACCGACTGTAACTGCGTCGTGCCCGTCAAGTTGTGAGCTGCGGAACGAGAGTGAAGAGGTGGAAGAAGATGTCGAGAGGTGACGGACGGACGCGAAAGATTTCATGATACAGTTGACGCTGCGACTCGCAACTTGTTTGACCGCTGGACTTTGCCACACGTGCAGCTGACTGCAGAGTTTCAGTTGTGGCGGAAGAACTTGAGGCCGACCCAGTTGGCGTAGCACGTCAAGATGGTCACAGGGATCGTGAGGGGCACCAAGTAGCAGTAGTACACGTCGCTCTCGAGAGCGCGCAAGAGACTGACGCTCACTTGTTGGTCTTCAGAGCTTTTGATGGCCATTTGATCTGTCGCTTCAGCTGTGGCAGAGGTCTCTGGAAGAAAAAGTAGCAGCAGTTTCGAGAAGATCATGACATACCTATCAGTGATCATCGACAAGAAGGTGTGAGAGAGAAGTTGTTTGTAAATGGAGAAGAAGAAATCATATTGGACGGAAGAGGTTCATTTAGCTGCGGGCAGCAATCGTACATGGATGCAATAAAGACCAGGGCCGCGAGTAACACGATTACGTAGCCCCACACGTGACTGGTGGAGCCTGCACGTGGCGCTGCCACCTTCATGTCCTGTCCTGTGAGCTAAAATAGCGTCCTCTATACTACGTGCTTCCGTCGTTTTGTGTGACGCACACACTCCCCGCGCGTCGCTAAAGCACTGTTATAAGGAGGTAGAATGCAGCGAAACAGCTGTGAATGGGTTGTAAGAAACGGTAAAGACACGCGTGTGGATAGAGGTCAACGAGCTTGCAGCGTCCGCTAAGCAAGTAGATACAGTGGATGCAGTTTAAGTCCAAGAATGATGAGATGGTGCCGCATAGGTTGTTGTCTACCACATCGTTCGAATACGAGCGGCCAGGAGTACTGATTGAGCATTTTGAGGGATTCGACTGTTTTCGGAAGCACTTCTTGCTGCGAGATAGCTGAGGTGTGGCCCTCGCCTCATTCATCTGCCATGGCACGATCCTGTTCGCTCAAGCTTTGTCGTTCTGCTGCCTTGACACCCTTAGGCGGCCACATGGAAAACTATGAGAGGACATATCGTGTGACCAAGTGCAAAGCTGAAGATTTGTGCTCGCGATCAAGTAGATGGCATCAATGACCACGTGGTCGGAGCAATTGTTTCATAATGGAAGAGGTGAGCGCGTTTAGCCTGTTTGACAGGGCCAGCTATAAGAGCAGATACGAGTGCAAGACACGAGATTGAGGTAGCAGCAAAGTATGCAGCTAGTAAAAGGGCGGCAACGAAAGATGAACAGGATGCACGTAAAAGGTCTGGACAGCAAAAGCTGTGATGATTAGGCAGGTTCAATCTGATGAACGATACGTATGGCAACTGATCTTGCTGTTCGAAATGTACAACACAAACAAAGCGCTACCAACGTGAGGCCATTGCTGAGGAGAAACTTACTTGCCAAGTACCTAAACATTTGTCATGTGGTGTGGCTTTATTGACAGCATTTCGAAACCCTGATAGTTCCGAACGTTCTCTGGTCTCGAGCAATCTTGTAGTTTCGCGGCGAGCGGCGATTGCTAGACAAACCAATGTAGGCACGTAGGAAGATGTAGGAGCAACACTAAGTGGGCAAGCAGTCCCCTGCTAGTGCTACCTTGGTTGCCGTGTCTTGGGTCGTCGACGACATCTTCACGGCAAGTAATATAGCGTACGATGTTGAAGAAGGGGTGGAGCTGGTGCGCTAGCTCTGTGCACGACAGCCATGTAGACGTCGTCGTTTGCACCTCGGCGTCTCTGTGGGCGCTGGCGCATTTACGAGAGCAAACTTATCTCCGTGCTGACTAGCGCTGGTATAGCCGCTGTTTCTAAGCTGCTGCTGATTCTCGGGTTCTAGAGCAGTGAACGAGTGTGCTCGACTTCTTACTGCACGCGATATCGGTATGCGCGAAAGTTTGCATTTGCTGTCACCGTGTGCGTCCATCCGCGCTTTCTTACCAGCGTAATCAGTGCTATCGGCTTATGCGGATCGCAGCTGCATATTTGATGTCGATGAGCTTGAGTTCGCCTCTACGGATACACACTGTCGATACTTTTCGCTTGCTACCTCGGGCGTGCGCAATTTGCTGCTATGTATGCTGGAGCTGCTTGGACACCGACTGGTGTCGTTGCGACATGGAGACATGCTGGGCTTGCAACGATGAGCTGACCAAAACTTTGTTTGCACGCGTTGACGTATTTGGACACACGCATTTCAATTCAGCCACCGCGGAATAACATCCAGGCTTATATAGCATATTCACCGATCGTCACAAGAGAGTTTTGCTCGCTGCAAGCACGCGAACGAGGGCGTGAGGTATCCGTCTTGTCGACAATGACAATCAGCAATGCTGTCGAGAACGCAAATGTTTGGGGACATGAGGTACACAGCGAGTCTGTCTATTCTTTCGCTAAAAACGGTGGAGTTTTATTTGCAGCATTTTGTTTTTTCTGGTATCAAATTGGTCCTACAACGAGTTAGTCTCGACTTTCCATACAAAAATCAAGCCACAAGGCTTGTGTTAATTTGTAAAAAGTATCGTCAAAAGGTTGCGATAGTAACGGTCCGTGCAGCGCACATTGCTTCAGTGACCTGCAGTAGCACTAAACAGTACCTTTTAGCAATGGCAGTGCCGCTCGATAGCCGTAGCGACTCGGACGACGGCTTCCAGGACTTTCTGAGCGACAACAGTGGCGATCAAGAGGCGCTGTTGACGCAGGAAAGCGCAGCACTTGAGCGTCGCATGAAGACCGTAAGCGCCTCTTTTAGTCCTATCGGACGCAACTCAGCTCGAAATACCATAATTTATGTCACACGTCAAACCTTATTGTATTGTATTGGACTCACTGATGACGTCTCTGTTCTTTTCGCAATATTAGATGGGTATTCGAGACGGTCTCGAGCTCGGTAAGGAGATCACGTTGCAAGAAGGGTTTGACGCTGGTTATGCGCAAGGAGCAGCACGTAGTTTTCGTGTTGGAACACTGCGAGGCGCTTTGGAAACAGCCGTTCGGTGTGGTCTGACGAACGACGAGGCAATGCTGACTGAAGCACGTGCTTGTATATCTCAGTTGAAGACACTGGAGAGGGATTCCAAGCTGCACGACGGAACATCTGAAGACAGCGCTGAACTTGTAGTACTGACGCAAGCTGAAGATCTGCTTACGAGCATCGGGGTGGACGTTACAACTTTGTGAACGTGCTTGGAAGCAGAATAACGGGAGACTATGTCATTTTCACGAGGGTCTGGTCTTTTGTCAGAAGAGCACTCGTAGTCTCACATAAGTACAAGTATGCATTTAGATTCTGTGTAACAAGATAAGCACAGAGCAAGAATCATTTCGACAAATGCTGAATATATCGGTAGTGAATCTGCGAGGGCTTTTGGCGTACAACCTTGTCGACGAGGAAAACAGTACGGGTATTATCGACGCGTAAGTAGTACGGTCCACCTCGAGTAGACGCCATGATCAGGCGTTGTCGTACGGTACACGTACAATCGCATAAAGGTCCAGGTTAACGTGTATTGTCTGTATGCTCTTTCTGACAAAAACGGAAAAGTGCGGGCTTTGGTGGTACGATCTACCTTCACTTTCGCCAGTATTCCATTTACAAATATGCACATTGATACAAACCCGAGTCACCGTTGTTGGAAATAGAGTGGGTATACTCGATAACAAGATCATCCGGTCGAACATGGTATTTTCTGTTTTTCGTATCGATGATGTGTCGGTAAACAATCTATTGCTCAGCTTCCAAGCTTTTGCTGGAAGACGCATCACGCTACGTTCGCATACTTTAGGACAAAATGATGACTTGGTATGAAGCACGAACTGCTGAAACAATTGCGCTACATTTCTAAAGAGCCAAATCAATTTTCCAAAGTGTGGGCGCAGAAAATTGCTGTCGCGTCCACCAGTCTTTGTTTGTCACGAGAGCTTCCGCAAAGCGCTAAGCTGAGAGACTAGTCAAGTACAGCTGAAAGTTGGAGAGGCAGAAGGACAAGTGGTGCGTAGGTGAGGCAGCATGCGCTGTTTTGCGTCAGTATTACGTAAGGCGTGTAACTGTCGTGCCACACAAACACAGCCACAGTGCATCCTGGCAACACATGGATCTGCCTGGCGATACAAGGAGTTGCCTGACATCGAGGCAAGCCTGCTAACGATTTCAATGCACGCGTAAGTATCCCTTATTATTATATGAAGTTGTTCAATGATACGATTTAGCATACTGTCGATCTCGGTAGCTGGTCCACGCTAGTATGTTACTTGTCAAAGTCGCTGGGGCGGGTCGACGATGCCTGCCAAGTGATAAACTGCATCCCACAGGACGAGTGCGCATATCGAAGCGCTGTACAATAAGTTCGTCGTACATGAGCACGAGATTAATTGCCTACGCTAGCCCATTAGGTCCAGCGCTCTTTTATTTTTTTCCATCGAAAAGCAAGCGCATCAAAAACATTTTTTGCTTCCTCAACGTTTCCGTGTCATCTGTCGCTAGATCTTACAGTACAAGCGATAAAATTATACGTCAGGTGTAACGGGGCAGCCCGTTACATGGAAGTGTCACTTTAAAGAAAGTGACAATAAAGAATATTAAGTTGAATATTCTTTGAACAATATCACCGATAGTGGTGATATTGGTGAGGCGACCAAAGGGTCTGCTCATTGGTTGATATCTTGATGATATCAACCCACCAATCACCGCAGGACGCGCGCAATGAGTGGTGACGAGACGTCACCATACACTCAGTTATATTAACATAATTAAGTCAGGTCAAACAGAGAGACAGTAGTTAGAGGACTTAATTATATTAATACAACAGTTTCACTTTTCCCTTATCTACGCTTCCTCGTTTGCCCCGTGTACGTCTGTCGGGGCACCAAAACCCTTGCGTTAAGTTCACGCAAGGGTGTGCCCCGTTACACCTGGTAACACTTTGTAGTCCTTTCAAGGACCACAGCATCTAACATGAACATGTTGGATGATGAAGAGACCTTTCACGCCACGCGTGAATGGTTTACCTATATGAGTGAC